AGCATCAATTTTTCTTTCGCAGCGCGCATACGCAAAGAGGATTATTATATTAAGAAATATAAAAAGATCTCTTTAATGTATATTTCATGGCAAGCTTACTGCTATTGATAGAATAATAACAAATTCAAATTATAAGTTAAAGAAATCAAAATCAAAAAAATTTTAATATAAAAGAATAATTTTTGCTATTTAAACGGAGAAAAAAATTATATATACGTATACGATATATTGTATATTTGACAAATAATAAAAACTTAAAGTCACATCAATACAGACATAAAGTTAAAATCACACACAGGAAACTTTAAATTACGAAACATTCTTGACCCTTTTAACTCGCGGAGTCGCCAAAATGTCGAGATAAAAATTACTGTATTTATCATAGTCTCGTATTTATCTCTGGACATTTGTACGCCAGCTCTGAACCGAATTTCCTTTTAGAGCGGAATAAAAGGAAGAAAAACAAGACGTACGGCTCTCATTTGACCGAGCGCTCTCATTTTCCCTTTGTTCGTAATTCTTTTACAGAAACGTGCACTTTTCAACGACGGCATTAAACAAGAATATATAACGGTATATAAAACCGCGACAGTAAAAGAAATAACAAGATATATACATATCCAGTCGGAGTGCATAATAATGCACTGTCGTCGTGCAAACACAGACGGTGCATTACAACGGCCATAGCGAAAATCTAGCATGCGTGCCGCTATAAATAACATCGCAATTAATAATTTCACGGCGAACCATTCACGTCGGTTAATTCATTAATTGTTTCGCGACATTTATCGTACATTCTGTGCTTATCCCTGCGATAACATCACGATGTAATTTTGTATCGCTGGCGTTATCTCCTCGCGCGAGTGTGTGTTTACGTATGCAAATACAATGACGTTTACATTAAATATGACATTATCGGTGTAATTGTACGCGATATGTCGCGTAAAACGAACGAATGTCGATCGCAGTGCGACTCGAATGCTCGACACAATCGACGACATTGTTCCGCGAGAAAAAAAAAAGAAATTTGTGGCCAACTCGTGCTTGGAAATCACGTTTCTCGTTACGCAAATGTGTCATCACGAGATTCCCCCGAGATTTATCGCCCGCGGTCTATAGATAAAAACCATGCTTTTTCCATTGTTCGCCTCTCTCTCGAAACACGAGCGATGCGCGAAAAAAATACTCGGTTCATATCTCATTATTGTTATGCATTTATGATCAAAGCTATTCATATCTTCTTTTATTTAATAATCACGGTACTGACAAAAACTTCACATAGGGCCGTTTGAGCGGAAGTAAATAATGGAAATGACAATAAAATGAAAATATTTAGCTTTTGAATCGCATTAAACGGGATTATGATTTTTATAACAAAGAATTATATTGTAATTCTATACATATGTACAAAGAGGAAATTATATCGACATCTGTACATCCGATGATATTAATAACAAGCATAAATTCAATACGGGACGTGTACAATTACGGTGCCAACCTGGAAAAACCGACGAACCTTGGCGACATCATCAAGTATAACACACAACTACAGCTCCTACAAACCGCGCTATTTCCGGACGGTTCTTGCTCCGACATGATGCATGGCTGCATCGCGTACTGCAATTAGTCCATGACGCGACAAATAGACGAATGTATAATCCCGACGCAGCGTTCGCCTTTAATCAAACACGACGCGTTTCCACGTGCGTGCGTAGGCGCGGAGATCGCTGATATTAAATCATATTGACATTCTATTTGATTCGGCCCTTCGCGTTACTAGAAAGCCGCCATTAATGCGAAAAGCGAAACTTTAATTGCTCGAAAATAAATTTCAAATTATAATCTCCACTTTTTTTATCGTTTTTCCGATAACCAATTTTGGTTCCCTCAAAGTCAATATGCGTTCTATTCTGTGCGCCGTTCTTGTGCGTAGATATAAAAATGTATGTCCACAATAAATGTTCCTAGTGAATGTTGCAAATGATCACTGAAATGTAATCATTTGATTGTCTGAGAAAATCGGTTATTCAAATACTGTTTCCTATAATCCGCGCTTCATGTAATCGACATTCCGGTGTATGATTACTATCGCGTTCCGTATTAGATGCGAGGTCAGACAGAGGAAGAAGAAACAAAACTTGAGAAGAAAGAGAAGGGTTGCGACCAAGTAACGCGGCATAACTAATGACGAGGAGATAAACGGTTCGGCAAACGACGCGTAACGAGCCAAGGTGGCCGTAGAGATTCCGCGCGGAAACGGACCGGAACCTCCCAGGGGAAACCCCTTGTCAGGAAATTGTTAGGACTTCCACCGCGCGCACTAGCGGAAGCGGATCCTCCGCCGCGGCGGCGGCGGCGGCGGCGACGGCGACGGTCGACGCGAACACCAGAACGAGAAGAAAACCCACGGGATGCAGTGAGATTTAGACGGTCGCTCGACTTGAGTTAAATAAAGAACGATCGCTTCTCAAAGTACTACGCGCAGTGCTGCGGGATTTCGAGAAAAAAAAACCGGCGACGCAATTTTTAACAACAGAAGCATAAAAAAATATATATGCTTGTTAATTTTTCAAAATTGAAGAAAATGATCCAACTTATAGTTTCTTAAAAATCTATAAGAAACAAAAATTTGCAAAACAAATTTAATTTTTCTATCTTTTTAAAAATTAATTTTCTTCATTCCCAACCATTTCTTGACTCTCGAGTAGAATAGTGTCCGGCAAAAACTGATCAAGATAAGATTTAAAGATTTAAGATTTTACGATGTTTTATATATACGATTTATTAGCGGCTAGAGGCACAACAATTATATAAGTTAAGATTTTTTAAAGATTACTATTTCATTTTGTGACAATTAGTACAAAAATATGTGCATAGTTAATATACGAAATATGTACACAATATATACAAAATATGTGTATATATTTATTACAAAATATATACATAGTTATTATTTCGAGTTCCCGTCAAGTAAGCCTGCGCGATTGTTGACGTTACGAAGTAGCGCCGTTGCGGAGAGAGCTAAAATGCAACGCGTTGAATAATGGAATGGTTACGAGTAACCTGGGTTAAGTTGCTCATCTATAATAATGCGCAGTATGTAGCTAAGCTCCGCCGAAAGCCGCATTACCCCCGCGCTTAATAATACGTCACGGTTGATAGAGATCCTCCTAGTGAATAAATGATATAAAGACAGCGGTGCGTGAGCGATATATTCAATCACTTCCTACGAGAGAAAGACAGATACATTCTAGCTTTCCAAGGAACAAACTCGCGAAAGAATAGCTGGATTATGTGTTACGTATACTTTTCAGTTGCTTTTTATATTGTGTATTTCGATCGAAGAAGACGAAGATGCCTAATCTTTTTGCGAGGGCGAAAGCCAAGTCGGCAATTGTTGGCTTTTCGCATTTGATAATTTCGCGTAAGTCCTATAATCCTTTGACGACTTAAATAGTTTAAATGCTTATCAGTTAGCTTCTTTGAGTACTGACGATTTCGCAATCTTGAGCATACTGATACAAGCTTGATAACGGTGAATTAAGTCAACAAATTAGCAGCTCGAGTCAGTTGAATAGCTGATGCGACGGTTTAAAGTGCTCTCTAGCAACGTACACAGGTACGCTCTTCAACTACGACACAAGTCGTCACAATTGTACACAGCTAAAATGATGTGTTCGACTGTGTCGTCACTCAATTGATTAATAAAACTTATAAATTCTGTTAATAAGATAAAATTGTAACTATATTATATTTAATTTACATAATTTGATCAGTTTTTAATCTCTTCTCTACATATTTGATAAATAAGTTAATAATTCATAAAAAATTTTTGTTGAAAAATACAAACTTTTACAGCGAAAATATCTTCTGCGAGTTTAAATTATTATTACAAATTGTTGATCTTCTTTACGGCTGCTCAAATCGTTGATATATACACATATTGAGCATATAGATCGGAAACAGCATTCCAGCTACAAGTCGACACTGTATAACACTGTGTCACACAGTATATCACTGTATTCCGTAGCTGGAAAGCACCCTTAACTACGCGGTTAAATCTGTTTCTAATGTGACAAATCGCTAAATTATAAAGCAGCAAATCATTATGCAAATTTATTGCGCAATTCAACACAATCTATAAATCGCGTATATATGCTTTTTCGGACACAATGTAAATTGTTTAAAAAATTGTTCCATGCTTTTTATTCTGCGTGTTAGCACTTTTTTGAAAGTATATAAGCAGGTTTTTTTAGGCAATATAAATTGTTTAAAAAATTTTCCATTTTAGTTTGCCCCGAGACATTTTCTTAACGGCTAAAAATATTGGTTTAAATTATCAAAAATTATAGAACTAAAACCAGAACTCTTAATTATTTACGAATTTCCACATTTTCATTCGTTTTCTAAAGCAAAATATTGTAATATATAGCATTTTATGTTAAAATAACTACTATGTTAGCAATGCATATAATGCGCGATAAGATACAAGCAATAGATGATAGATATGCTAATTGGTTCGAGTTTTAAATATTACACGTAAATATACCAGCGGCTATTGGTTGTACAGGGCGAATCAATAAAAATTAGCTATCTTTATTATTATTCGCTATAATTTATTTTAATATGTTATGACATAAGTGCAATGTGTGTGTGCTATTCTGATATAAAGATTTTATTATAAATCGATTTTATCCATTCTATAAACAATCTAGTAACGATTTTCATATTTTCGATAGATGGACGGTTAGATGATCTTCATATATTTTCTGTAGCAATCTACTCATAAAAAAAAAAAAAAACATCGTACTACATAACTTCTTTAAGATAGTACCTCAGCGAAAGGGTTTAAGAATTTATTAAAACTTGGCGTACATATTATTAGATATGTTATCTAATCATATGTTCCTAAGCCAAAATATTTATACTTGTAATTGGCATGATTTGCACGTAATCTATATACTAACTAACATGCACCAACGACACGTTTTTAATTCTAGCGTCAAAACTACATTTAAAAATGGAATAAAAAATGAGAGAATGCTAGAGAGAAATTACACGAATATTTTGACAAAATTGGAGCATGATTTACCATTCAATTTTGAAGATACAGGCTTGAGAAGCATGACATGGTATTATGAGACATATTGGACAAGTGAACGATCGCGTGGAAAAGGAAAGGAACAGCGCGAACAGTTCTAGAAAAAAGTTTACTCCCACCGGCGTGACAAAATTAGTTAATAAAAGAAGTTTTGCGATGGTAAATAATATTCCTTGTATTATCCATTAGAGAGTACTACGTCAATATTAAATGTTTTATAGATTTTTCTACGATGACCCGATTAAATCATCGATCTCTTCGATATGTACATGGGACGAAACTTTTGGTTGAGTTTGTTCCCGAGATACTACCTTAAACAATGTAACTTTTATACGATAAATTTTGCACATTTTAAGAGATATTTTAAACTCACTCACATCGATATCGCTCGCCATAGGCTCATTTATAAATATAAAAGTATTTACATCATACAGTCATCAGTGTGATAACGTTTATTTACAATATTATTATGCATGAGAATTTTTAATCAGTCTGTGTGTGTTATCGCATGTGACCTGTCCAACTCATAGTATTCATTCGCGACGAATGTAGAACAAGTGTATTGCATCGATAGCGTGTTTTCGCACTGGACGAAATGATTTGGAGGTACATGTGCGTCTTCGTGCTCTATCTTGTCCTCACCGACGGTTTGCTCGATGGGCCCTTGGTCTATACGAAATGGGGCATGATCCGAGGCAAATGGAGTAGAAGTCTGCAGAACCGAAAAATCGCGAATTTTCTCGGGATACCGTATGCATTACCACCGGTGGGCGATTTGAGATTCAAGGTACGTAATTTGCGATCTATCTGTGCAGCATTCTCTTTCCTCTATCGCAAAAAAAGCTATCGAATAATAAAATATATAAGACATATTTTTGTATGTATATAAACATATTATTCGATAAATCTAGTGATGGGAGCACATTTTAAATGCACAAAAAATTTCAAAATATAACCATTTAAATAATATTGTATTTAAATAAAATATTATTTAAAAAAATATTAATTAAAATAAATTAAATGATCCTCTTTTTAGAGCCCACAACGATGGAATGATAAATGGAAATCAATTCGCAATGCTACAGCTGATGGAAACATGTGTCTTCAAATAGAGGATTCCAAAATTCTTGGCAGTGAGGACTGCCTTTATTTAAATATCTTCATTCCCTATGTAAGTAACGCGTCATACAGGGTATTTTACAGAGTATTCGACATGAATGCTTTTGGAAATATTTTAATTGTAATAATCGAAAAAAACTGTAATAATAATTAAAAATACTATTATTATAACATTAATAATAGTAAAAATTCTGACAGCGGATATACTCTCGCCCGATCTAGTAAATAATTTATATCGCGCGCAATTTCTATGATTCCCTTGAAAGTTTCAAAACGAGTGAAAAATTGCAATATTGCAATTTTTACGAACAAACACGAGCTCCATCAGATCGCGAGAGCAACTTTTGTTTTGATTAAACTTAAACTTTTGATCAAAGTTACATTATTTTGGGGAAATTCAATGATTTCACGATAAATGCTTGGTTCTTGATGTCTATCAAATATTTCGTACTTTTGTTTATATATAAGTTTTCATCGTGCCACATAAATTTCATCAGAAATTTTTATAGATTCCAGGCATTCAATCCATGAAATTGCCAGTTTTAGTCTACTTGCATGGCGGTGCATATAATTTTGGCAGCAGTGATAGTAAACTGTACGCGCCGGATTATTTGATGGATCAGAATATAATTCTCGTCACGTTAAATTACCGGCTTAATATTTTTGGTGAACAAAAAATTATTATAACTGGATATATAATTACTCCCTTTGAGCATTTCTTTCTTTTTATTTAAAATGATAATCAAAGGGACTAGATTTTATATCATAATACATAGGAATAATGCAAAGTTCAATTACGTAGGTTTTTTTAGTACAACGAACCAAGTCGCGCCAGGTAATTACGGTCTCAAGGATATGAAGATAGCCCTCGAGTGGATACACGAGAATATTCACAGCTTCAACGGAAATCCCGAATCAGTAACCCTTATGGGAGCGAGTGCCGGTGCTGGAGCGACTCATCTGCTCGCTTTCTCGAACAAGACAGAAGGACTCTTTCATAAGTACATTTTATTTGGCGGTTCCGCTTTAGCTCCGTGGACTTATCATCCCAAAAAATTGTATCGACGAACTTGTTTGAAATTGGCAAGGCTGGTTGGCTGCCAGCCGAAAAAAGACGACGATATAATCGTATCAAACGAGACAGTCACCGATAATTCCGAGGAGGAAAATGGAGGAAGGGGAAGTGACGCTAATGCCAATGTTTCGCATAAAGATTATAATGAAGGATCCATAAAAGACGACGAGGAAATGGTAAAATGCATGAGAACGATCGATGCGAGGCAACTTACGAAAATGTTAAAACACTTTGTAAGTGTTGTCCATAATATTATAAAAATATTTTTATATTTTATGATGATTTTCTTTATTGACTGATGATTTGCATTATATTTTGTATTAGTATGTTTGGAGGGGAAATCCAATATGTAACTTTGCTCCTACATTGGAAGATGATTCGGAGGACGCTATCCTGACGATGAATCCATGGAAAATAATAAAGAACGGTTTGTTCCGCGATATACCGGCGATAATGGAAGTCGTGAAAGACGAAGGGTTGGTGAAGACACTCGGTAATTTCCGTTATTACTTTTGTCGTAATAATAATATTTAATTAATTAAAGTTGTCGCGCAAATTAAATTAATTAACGGCGTCGGATAATTTGCACCCGAGCGAAAGAAATGCGCGCAGCTATATGAGATTCATAGCTATATTATTACATTAATTAACTTTATATCTCTATAAAGTTGAAACTCCCGTCTTATGTTTAAAGTGCTAGCTGTATGACACTCGAGCTCTTTTCATAATAATGAAATTATCTTTAATAAATTAATAATGATGATTGTGTAAAGTTCAATGTGAGATAAAAAGCAAAGGATACTCATGTTCGTGCATTCGATTCAGATTTCTTCATAGATCCAAACATGGAGAAAGAAATGATCGAGAATTTCGAAGAATACATACTCTATCTTTTAGAAAATCGCGATTGGATTTCCAACACTAGCATTTTCGCCACGGCAATACAGGATTTTTATTTCAATGGAAATGTGTCGTTGGATCTTAAAAGCAACATCACGGAGGTGAGTCTCACAGGGCGAATCAAATTGTGCTCTTGACATCTATGACGACGAGATATTTCTGTAGGTAATAGGTGACGGCAGCATGATATGGCCGATGTTAAAAACTGTGCAATATCAATCAGAAATAGGAAATTCCAACATTTATTTCTCTTTTTTCGCGTACGAAGGCACATTCTCGTTTTCTTTGGCTTCAGGCACCACGACTCGTTATGGTACGTACGTTATCAAATGTAACGATTTTCCCGTAACAGAGAATCAGGATTGGGGGATTAAATCTTAACTAATTTCTTATGTTTACGCAAAACGAATATATAATTAAATGACAACACAGCGATTTTTTTTACATATTTTTTTCGTTCTTATAAATAATCTTTAGGAAATTAAAAAAATAAACACACGATTATATCCACAAGAAATATAAAAAAAATGATTCTTTATCATCTTTAATTATATGTAGATTTTTTTTCCAGTTAAAAATTAAACAATTCTAAAATGCATATGTGGATTTAAATGGATAATCTATTTCTAGGTGTTTTTCACAACGATGACTTAAACTACTTATTCCCTCTATTGAATAATATACATCAGAATATTATGTCAAACAATACGGAGACTGATTTTATGGTTATCAATATCATGACAGAGATGTGGGCAAATTTCATGAGAGAAGGGTAAATATCATTAAAAGTATCACATGAGATTCATTAATACTCACATATAAGTTTACGTAACATTACGAAATTCTATGTAGCGCGAATAAACTCAGAGAATCAAACAATTATCCCGAGATTGTAATTTACCGATAATTATAATTTCTGGAGAGTATTATGTCTTGTTTCCGTTTGCAATGACGTCGCAGCGCGTAACCGTCCGTATGTGATCCGTTTCAAAGCCGATAGGAGCATCGAGTCGCTAGGAAATTCCGATCCTCGCTTATGATAGCCGGATGGTCTTGCCGATCGTAAAGTTTATTACATATTTATAGGGTACCGACAGCGTGGATGATTCCTGCGTGGCCCGATTACCGCGATTATCATCAGTTTATGAGATTCGGGATTGGCAAGTCGCCGGATATTGTGATACAAACTGATTTCCTGTGCGACAGAATGGAGTTCTGGGACAAGTTGTCGATCGTATCGACGGAACAAGTGGAATCCGACCTGATCGTTAGCGCTTCTCCGGATAACACTCGATTTATTCTTGTATTTTTAATTATCGCTTTGCTTTACGTATATTAAAATTATTCAATCTGCGAATGAAGACAATCACTTATACACATCGCGTCAGCGATCGCACTTGAAAAATTTCTCCAATTGCACATAAAGAGAAAAATGCGCGGATAAACTAAGAATAAGAAATATAATATTTTATGCGTAAATTATATAAAATAGTTTGGCTCTCACAAACATATAAAATATATTCTTTATAAGATATTATGTAATATTATCAAATATATTTAAAAGTAATAAAAAAGTTATTTAAGAGTAATAAAAAATATTTATAAAGATAAAGTAAATATGCATATGTATATATGGATCTAGGACACGTACGAGTTCGCTCGCCTCTTGTGGCTCAAGACATATTTGCAGTTTAGTGTACTTTCCGTGGAACCTAGTTTACTTGCACCAGTAAAAAGTAACGATGATAATAAATACGAAGCGAAGCTGTTTCGTTTACTATCTAACGCCTATCTCATTCACGGCATGAGAGCGAGAGCGTTATAGCTGTTAACATCGCCAATAAAATTTCCAAAACTCTGGGGAAGGGAAAGGGAGTTTTAAATTTAACTCCGCAAATGAACACTCGAGATGGAACAAACTTATGTTTACAGATCTGAATCGTAAAGTTTTCAAAATTTTTCTTTTCACTCCGTTCTAGGTTTGACTTTTCTCCAGCATCATTTTCATATACAAAAATAGAAATTAAATAATTAAACGATGTTATATATTTAAATATATGTATATTCATGCATATATGTATATGAAATTCTCTTTGAATATATCGAAATATATCCTTCTCGCGCAAAATTTTATATTTACCGCGTAAATTTTGATGCTCGGCATATAAGCGTAGGCGGAATCACGATTCTAGTAAACCGCCCTTGAGAGCTTTGAGAGAGTCATTCGCGCTTTTCTCCGCAATTATAGCCGAAATTAACGTTAGGAAGAATCTTCCCGGCGCCGCGACTGCCGCATTAAAAGGAGCCTAATAAACGAAAGGCATAATGAAATTCGCTTGAAAATTAAGTTCGCCACGCGACGAGTTAACGCATATATAAAATATGCAGCTCCTGGTTCTCCCGGTGGAAACGCTATAGGCGCGCGAAGAATGCGCGCTCGGGGAAATTAATCATCCGCCCTAGGCAACCGCTGTTTGTCTTCTTTCCATTTTCCATCCGTTTCCGCACATATCGCGGTAGAGAGAGAAAGAGAGAAAAGAGAGGAGAAGAAACCCGCTCTCTGCATGGAAGAGCGAGCGAGATCTCGTCCTCACGAGCAATGATTACGCAACGACGATGAAACGAAGACAAACATCGCACCTTCCGAGTGTATCACCGACGAGACCATATCGTCGTGTCTCTCCTAAGGATGAAAAGTGCTAACAGCCATGTTAAATCCGTGAGATCTGAGACTCCGCGTGGATTATTGTAGAGCTTTTTCGCGAATCTCGCCATGATGGAATAAGGTAAGTACAAGAATGTAACAGCATTTGCAATTGCGTAACTTGCAAATCTATTTTTTAATAAAAAATAGATTTAAATAATTATATATTTTTATATATACACACACAGGTTAATTTATAAATGCAATATTTCACAGAGTAAATATATCCACACCCCACATATAAAATAATAATAGTAATATAAAGCATAAATTTAAAAAATTTAACGAGGATGATGTTTCTCTTTGCAAGAATTATTATCGTATAGAATCCATATGCATCACATTTCCGAGCTCGTAAAAGCTTGAAGAACAAGCGTGAGATATTGTGAACAAAGAATATTCTTCGTAATCAAATATATCCGCGAAGAACAGGCGACCGAGGATGTTATATTAAATTTTAGCCGGACAACATTGTTCCTGGCGATATTATTTCCTTATTGCAGGAACGACATCTCATGTTTTCTCTTTCTCGTCAACCGCCTTACTCAAATGCCATATATTTTCATCAAATATTTACTGGCGTCTCTTATACATATATCCCGCGTTTCAGAAGCAGAGACCAATCTGCGTTCTCGACCGTCAATACGAAGATAAGAAACTAATTAAAAATAGTCGAAATCACGCAAATAGCTATTTAATATAGTTCGTACATCGCGTCAATATCCTAATTTGGTTTTACGCAATATAAGTTATTATATTAAGACATGTAATAAAATATTAAAACAATGTCAAAAAATAAATATAAACGCATATTAATGACTTTATATTTATTATTTTTAAATTTGACGATAGAGCGCATCTTTTTACTTCTCTCATTGTCCAATTTCGAATCGGTTAACTCGATTAAGTCGATAAGACATTTCAATTCAACGCTCGAAGCGCAGAATTAATTAACAGCGCGACAAAGTGGAGAATTGCTAAGCGACAAACTCTTGTATCGTTTTAAACTATATACGTGAACGTGCCAATTGAAATAACAAAGATAATGTTGTTACACCCTCAGGGCATACGTTTACTTTTACCATTGTCAACAAGCGATAACTTCATAAAAAAAACTTGACAAATTAAAATATAGATCGAGAGGAATTTACTTACGCGAAACGCGCCTAATGCTCTTTCGCAACTTTACGAAATAAATTTTCGCTTCTTTCCGATTGGCGGACAAATGCAAGAGTGACAGAATGACGTGTAACTCGCAATGAAATAACTTGCGTCGTTGGCAAACAATGACGCTCTGTATATCCGAAATAGGATTCCGTTGCGCTTAATACACCGAGATAGTGTCCTTTATAAGTTCGAAACAGAGTCGATGCTTAATCCACTTTCCTCTCATTGCTAATGAATAGAGTTCCGCCGACGGCGTTCGCGACTACGAAGCCATGCCATTTCGTGGCTTTGGAATTAGATTCGCGAGATGCCTGGCGCTAATGCGATATTCAAAATCCGCGGATCCATCGCTCAAAATGGGAATCTCGCGCAAATATCGCATTCATCTAAACACATCCGATGGTACATTTCAAAATATCGATATATTAATAAAGAGAAAGGTAATAATGTGTAATATGTATCATCTTTTCTCGTTCCATATTTTATGTATATTTCCGAAATCCCATTTATATCCCATGCATTTTTATACGCATTCAATAACGGTGTTATTATTGTTTTTTTTTTTTGTTTCTTCTCCTGCATAAATATTAATTATTTTATAAAATAGAGATAAAGAGAGAGCGCGCGCACACACTCTATTTTTTATGACAAAATTAGTTCAAATCTGCCGGGCTTGATCTGCTTGTCCATGCTAGAAGGCACTATTCGGAAGCGGAATAGAACGAAAACGCTATTATCTCAAGCTCGAATTATCTCCCGGGACACACTTTTCCAGCGCGTTCCAGCGTCGAGCTTAAATTGTAATTTCAGCCTTTGTCGCGGTCTCCGACGACAATACTTTGAAAACGCGCGGGCGTTTCCAGTCTGTTTTTACGCTCCTAGTCACGTGCGTATGAAAAACGCGCTTTGACGTGAAAAATGCACTACCGTTTGAGTTAAAGGGCGTCGCGCGCAGCGAACGCGACAGGATCCCAGAGACGCACGGAAGAAAAAAAAACGAACACGTGGAATGTGTGTTTTTTCAAGCTCGTTGGAAGAATCGTGAGAAAGGTACCGCGCGTAAACGGCAAACGTGGGACAAAAAGAGAGAAGGAGACACGCAATTGAATTTGTTCAATACCGGGAATCATTTTCGTCAATGATAGTGTTTAGATGTGTTCGCATTTTTCTTCTTTTTTTTTTTTTTTGTTGCAAGTGAGCCGTAGATAGATTCGCCTTGAAATAAGTGTCGACGGGAAAAGGGGGCGAAACGCCGTTGATTGGCGATTTGCATAGGCAAATAAGCCCCGAAGAGACCGGCCAAAACCGCCGTTGCTATTTGCGCAGCGGGTGAGTGATTGTTTTCGAAACGGTTCCGAGAGAGAGGTGAAAGTGTACAGGAAGCGCGTGGACACCTTCAAATTCATTCCAGTTCGAACCAATCGGCCAAAGTGTCAATTTCCCGTAGAAACGGATGTATGCTGACACTAGAGAACTTTACAAACTTTTGGCTCGTCCATGGAGTATCCGCCAAAATTCTTCTACATCGGTATAGAACTGTGTTTGGATATCGCGTAATTAGAACAATAATGAAAAAAATTTTAAACTATCTTTATATAATTATGAAAAAAAAAAAAAAAAAAAAACGAAAAATGTTCCCTAATATGGCTATTTTTCCTT